GATCGTGAACGTGTGGTCCATTGGAAGGGACCCTGAGTACTGGGAATACCCACTGGAGTTCAGACCAGAGAGGTTTATGAATGAAGAGGGAGAGAGCGAGATGAGCTTGAAGGCGCAAAATTTTGAGTTGTTGGTGTTTGGGGCAGGAAGAAGAATGTGCCCAGGTGTATCTCTAGCTACCAAGGTGGTGCCAACAACTCTGGCTGCTATGATACAGTGTTTTCAATGGAAACTGCCTCATGAAGGAGACGTTGACATGGAGGAGAAGCCTGGTTTAGGCCTTCCCAGAGCTAATCCTTTGCTTTGTATACCTGTGCCTAGGCCCCTTCCCTTTCTAAAACTCTAGTCCTTTCCTGTATTATGCCCTTGTTTTCCAACTCTGTTACCTTTTTTTCTTTTCCTCCCTGTAAAATGTTTGAAAGAAGTAATGAGTCCTGTGATTAATATTGCAGCGAGATCCCATCTAGGCCCAGTAAGTATGGTTTGAATGCTTGATTAGGCTTACTTGAACTTTAAGGGAAGCAGCCCATGAAAGTAATAAAAAATATATTGGTCTAGATGTGAACCAGTGATTTCTTTCTTTTGTCTTTTAATACAAGTAGCAACTAAATAGTCCAAAATAACAGGAATATTCCCGGGCTTTATCATATGAGAGAATCAGAAAGCTACATACGAGCATAGATTCATGAGAGGGGGTGTGATGATATTGTCCAACAAGCAAGCGAAGTCATGTTATGAGTTTAATAAATCTATCAATCAACCTCAGCCATCACATAGCTATCATTTTAGGGGTCCATTATTGCCGGCAGGAGCAAAGGAAAAAACATTAAATTAATCTTGAACCTTTTTCATGACGTTTCAAACTTATGGAGTTTTATATCTTAAAATTCTGAGTTCAAAACTTGATACAAGTCTGGTTTTTAATGCATTTATCCTTTTAAGCATGGTGCTTTAATTTTTTTCCCATAATAAGGAAAATGAAAAACCTGCTCTCTGCCCTGGTATACCCATGAAAAACCATTCCACACTCATGTATTACTGAAGGCAGCAGGAAACCATTTTTTCCGTGCCTTGAAGATTATTTCCACTACATCTGTTTTTTAAAATAAAATTTTTTTGCCACTTTGAATGCATTGTTTAGTTAAAATTAGTTAATATATGCCTTATCAGTTATCATGCAGATGTCACCGCCACCGGTGATTAAATCAAATGGCCATATACTCTCAAACCTGTACCATACAGCACCTTTATAAATAGACCCTACATGCATATATCCCGCACTCATTATTCTAAACAGACAAAGATGGAAATCAATAACATTCTAGGCTCCAACTACGCACTCTTTTTCATGATTTGGTTAGCCTCTCTCATATTGGTCCGATCTATATTCTCTAAACAACCAAAAGCTAGGCTTCCTCCAGGTCCTCTTGCCTTACCCATCATAGGACACTTTCACCTTCTTCGACCACCCGTGCATCAAGCTCTTCACAAGCTCTCGAGTCGTTATGGACCCATGATTCTCATCTACCTTGGCTCTGTTCCCTGGTTCGTTGTTTCTAGTTCTGAAATCGTGAAAGAGATATTGAAAACCCATGAAATTTCTTTCTGTAACCGACCACCCAGTTCTGCTGTCAAATATCTCACTTATAACGCAGCTGATTTCGCATTTGCACCTTATGGAACCTACTGGAAGTTCATGAAGAAGCTTTGCATGTCAGAACTTCTCAATGGTCGCGTGCTTGACCTACTCATTCCCGCTAGACAAGAGGAGATTTGCCATTTCTTGCAGGTACTTCTAAAGAAAGCTCACGCCGGAGAGGCTGTGGATGTGGGAGCTGAGCTTGTGAGGCTAGCAAACAGCGTCGTAATGAGAATGGCACTTAACAAAAGTTTCTGTACCAACGACGAGGAGGCTTATGAGGTGGCGCGGGCTGTGAAAGAATCAGCCAGGGTTAGTGGAAGACTCAACTTGTCAGATTATTTCTGGCTTTTCAAATTCCTGGATCTCCAAGGAATTGGGAAAAAGTTGAAGGAGGTACACGAGAGGTCGGACGCTAGGCTCGAAAGCATCCTTCGAGAGCATGAACGAGCAAGAATTAAATCCAACAGGAAAGATGCACCGGAAGATATACTAGATCTTCTTCTAAATATATCAGAAGATCCAAGCACAGATGTCAGAATCACTAGGGACAACATCAAAGCCTTCCTGAAGGTAAATATCCTCTATTAAATAGTATATAATATAGGCTAATATATTTTAACTTCAGATCAAAAAATCAATCAGTTTTGATTGACATATAACATGTCCAAGTCAGGATATATTTTTAGGTGGGACTGGTACGATAGCGGTAGGGGTAGAGTGGGCGGTGGCAGAACTGATAAACCACCCAGAAATAATGGAGAAAGCAAGGAAGGAGATTGAGCAGGTGACTGGGAATGAAAGAATAGTAAACGAGTCGGATATAGTAAATCTTCCATATGTTCAAGCAATAGTGAAGGATCACTGAGGCTTCACCCCCTGCTCCAGTGATCCTAAGAGAGTCAACTGAAAGCTGCAACATAGCAGGATATGAGATTCCGGCCAACAGTCGAGTGGTCATAAATATCTGGGCACTTGGGAGGGATCCAAAATACTGGGATGATCCATTGGAGTTCAAGCCAGAAAGGTTCACGAGGGAAGATCAAAAAAGCCAGATGGAAGTGAGAGGACAAAACTATAATATCTTACCCTTTGGAAGTGGAAGAAGAGGCTGTCCTGGAGCTTCACTAGCACTCAATATTTTCCATACCACTCTTGCTGCTATGATTCAGTGCTTTGAATGGAAACCTGCAGGAGGAGATGGAGAGAAGAACGCCATCAGTACTATTGACATGGAAGAAGGAAGCTCTGTGGATCTTCAAAGGGCCCACCCCCTCATTTGCATCCCAAAACCCAGATTCTTGCCATTTCCCTTACAGTGATCTCCAAGAATACAATTATCGTTGTTTGCCGCTGCACGGACTTTTACTTCCAATCTTGTTCTTCATTACGATTAGTTTCGGAATCGTTGCTTCCATATGATGAATTAATGATGCCAAGTTTGTCTTGAATATGTTGTTCATTGTACAAAATGTGCTGCCATCAGTGTTATACTACCTTCAGTCCTTAATATAAAAGTTTATTTGACTTTTATTTTAATCCTAAATATAAAACTGTAATTTATTTTGTCTTTCATATTTATCTATTTTTTTCAAGATAGTCATTACAATAATGATAGGTTTAGCTAGTATATTTGATTAGCAAAGATATTTTAGGAAATACAATACACATTTATTACAAATAACTAACTTAATTAATTTTTTTTAATATACTCGTATTAATGAACTAGCTCTTATATTTAGAAGCGGAAGTAATATTTAAGAATGATTGTAAAGATGTTCCGTGCTTCATCCAAACTAAATCCTTAATTACTAGTACAAGTGAGTTTTACCACGTTGACTTAATGAAGTTACTGAGATTTTCCTCTCATGGCACGCCCGTTAGAATGATCAAACCAGAAGCGTTAAATGAGATGTCAACTCTTTTTAGTGAACTTTTGGCCCAAAAAAAAAAACTCTTTTTAGTGAACTAACGCGTATTTATATAATCTGCGACATAAGAATTTATTAGAAATCACATGGTTTACGCAATGATTAGATCGTTATCTCACTTTTGGCACCCAAAAAAAAAACAGAGAGAGAGAGATTGTTATCTGTCTTGTATGAACTGGCCGATTGGACTTTGTAACCACCAAGAACTGCATATATGCCTGACAGAAAAAGGAAAGCACGGCTGTGATTGTGATCGAGAAAAGGGCAAAAAAACTGAATCTCAGAGCATGACGTAAGATGTTTAAGCTAATTGAGAGTGAGTCAGCGAAGTTCTAATCTAACCTGAAGGTGTCGATTTAATATGGAATATCCAACAGATTTCTAGTAAAAAAAATTTTGGTAAAGGATTTCTAATAAAATTTTAATTAACACTAAAAGTCACTAGAGACAAAATGGCTAGAGCGCATATTGATGGCAAGGATTGACTTCAAGGCTGAATGAAAAAATAAAAAATGGGATGAAATAAAGTTAAAAGGAAACTTCCCAGAATATCCTTTGGTATTTGAGAAACCTGAATGGTATAATTTCATGTTCAGAATGGGACCCTTTCCATCCTTTCCCTTGTTTTCTCTCCATACGTGATTTTACGGTTTTTTTCCATCAGCAGATTTTAGAGAATCAATTTAAAACTTGTGGAAGAGAGCATTTTCATCTACATTAGAGAAAGTCATTCGGACGAAAATTTACTATAATCTATTTTTTCATTCATAAAATCTTACCTTATACTCAGTTGCCATACAAATAACTTGTTCAAATTTTAACCATTAGATCGTAATAGAATGAGCTGGCATTGAGGTGGAAGCTACAAATTTTTTTTTTTTCAAAGGATAAGTTTTTATTTTATACCATTAATCACAATCTAATAATTAGTATCCCTCAATAATTGAGGATCCCAATCCACTAGTTGCAATTGCTTTTCCTTTGTCGGAATAAACTATTCAAATAACTAAACGGTGAAGAACAGCTACGCATTTTTTAAAAATGGATTTTCAAGTCAAGTGAGAACTGGTCATACTCATAATATGGTTGCAGATTTTAGGTTTGAACTGAGAATTTACATATTGCCGGCCAATCCCAGAAATATAGGATAAAGACAATCACGCCAGTTTCCTTTTAAGTAAAACACTCGCTTCCGACATCTACACTATTGTCAACGATGGAACACAAAACAGCAAGCAAGCGAATTAAATTAAGTAATATTCTAAATAAATCAGCATGATTATAATTCCCGAACTCTCAGACAGACCATATATAGTCGGCTTAATTAACAAGTCCAACGAAATATACAATGAAGTGCCTTAATTCCTTGTTTATTGAAGGCACATTATTGACCCCTTACCCCAAAACATAACTGGGATTCACAGCCAAAGATGGAGGATTTTCAAGTATACATCCAAGTAGCAACCATTGGGTTAGTTTCGTTGATCTTGGTTCGAGCCATTTTTAGCAGAATACAAAAGAAGCCTAATTGCCCACCTAGCCCACTGGCTTTGCCCATCATAGGACACCTCCACCTTCTTGCTCCCATTCCTCATCAAGCTCTTCGCAGCCTTTCCCAACGCTACGGACCCATCATCCAACTTTTTCTGGGCTCTGTTCCATGTGTTGTAGCTTCCACTCCAGAAACCGCCCTTGAGTTTCTCAGAACTCATGAAGCTTCTTTCTCCAATCGCCCTCAAAATACTTCCGTTGACTTCTTGACCTATGGCTCCCAGGACTTCTCCTTCGCTCCCTACGGCCCCTACTGGAAGTTCATGAAGAAACTGTGCATGTCTGAGCTTCTCGGTGGCCGGACGCTCGACCAGCTCCTTCCGGTGCGGCGGCAGGAGACGCTGAGATTTCTAGGGCTTCTGCTGAACAAGGCCGAGAGGGGTGAGGCGGTGGACGTTGGAGCAGAGCTGCTGACACTGTCCAATAACATCGTGTCCAGAATGCTCATGGGTCAAACATGCTCTGAGGATGACGGTGAAGCTGAAGAGATCAGGAAGCTAGTGAGAGACACCGCCGAGCTGACGGGGAAGTTCAATGTTTCGGATTTTATTTGGTTCTGCAAGAACTGGGATTTGCAGGGAATCAAGAAAAAGCAAAGGAACTGAGGGACAGGTTCGACAGTCTCATGGACAGAGTGATAGGAGAACACCAGGAGGAGAGAAGGAAGATGAAGGAAGTAGGTGAGGTCTATGAAGCGAAGGATCTGCTTCATATTTTGCTAGACATATATGAAGATGAGAACTCAGAGATAAAACTGAACCTAGAGAACATAAAGGCCTTCATCCTTGTAAGCCACCGAAATCACTACTCTCCATCCTTTTACATATTTCTTCCTACATGTATATCAACTACGATGTTGCAGGACATATTCATGGCAGGAACAGACACTTCAGCCTTAACGACGGAATGGGACTTGCGGAGCTAATAAACCACCCAAGTGCGATGAAGAAAGCGAGAGAAGAGATAGAAAGAGTAGTAGGAAGGAGGAGGATAGTAGAAGAATCAGACATTCCGAACCTTCCCTACCTGCAAGCGATAGTGAAGGAAACCCTAAGGATACACCCAACAGGACCGTTAGTGGTGAGGGAATCGAGCGAAAGGTGCAGTGTGGGAGGGTACGAGATTGCAGAGAAGACGCAGCTGTTTGTGAACGTGTGGGCCATAGGAAGGGACCCAAACTACTGGGAAAACCCAGAGGAGTTCAGGCCAGAGAGGTTCATGATGACGACGAGTGAAGAAGGAGGAGGAAGAGGGAGAAAGAAGCAGGTAGATGTGAGAGGGCAACACTTTGAGTTGATACCATTTGGGAGTGGAAGAAGAGGGTGTCCTGGAACATCTCTGGCTTTGCAGGTAGTGCAGGCGAATCTGGGAGGCATGATTCAGTGTTTTGGGTGGGAGGTAGAAGGAGGCAAGGCAAGTGTTGACATGGAAGAGAAACCAGGCCTCACTCTTTGCAGAGCTCATCCTTTGATCTGTGTCCCGTGCCCTAGCCTCACTCCCTTTCCTTCTTTCTGAACAAATTAAAATTGCGGTTTGTGTTTGGATTATTAGGAGGGGTAGAGGTAAGTACGTCAAAAGACTTGAACTTTTTCCCATGTTTTCTAAAAAATTAAAAAAAAGAAAAAGTTAGAAGGTGACTTCGATCAGGTGATCCCCATCCAAGAAATATTGGGGTTTCTTTTTCTGCAAAAAGATGTAGGAAAGCAACGCGGGTATTAAAAATCCCTTTGCTTTGGTCTTACCCTACCAATCTACATCTTTATCTTTGCGTTGCGCATCCATTTTAACAAAAAGGTTTCATAGTTTCATGCCTCATTCATTGCCAGAGACATTTGTCGTCGTCCTGCCTTCATCTTCGGTTTGCTAATTCAGTACTCAACGATCGCCAGAGGATCAGGAGTGAAACTATGGCAGCGTGATGATTAAATAATTATAATCAATGCAAATAAAATCAAAGGCAATAATAACATAGGAAGCAGAGAATTTAAAAAATAGGAACAGATTTAAAACATTTTACAAAGTGATATTGATGGAATCAATCAAGTGTTTATATTTTTTATTAATTTATAATTTTAGAACTCTATAAACACTCCTGATTTCTCATTACAAATCTTATAAATTGATTGATAAATAAATTGCGTTCCTTCAATCTCTGTCCCCCTCTCCATCCCTTTTTATGCTGCAGCATCATCAACTCATACACTAATTTTGCCAGCCCACACTTCAGTTACAGGGTATTCCTGTTTTTGAAAATCGAAACAACTTCAAACATTACTCTAAAAGGAACTCCCTGACCATCCTTTTCCTCCATCGAGGTTTAGCTGTAATATCTTTTTTTTTTTTCCCATTTTAGGATTTAGCTTGCTTCTCATAAAGATATCTGAATTATTAAAAATTATGCAATTTGGTATACCTCTTTTTGTGTACGCCTATGTATAATCAATACTATCAGTGTATCAATAATTCAATACTTTATATCATATAGATTTATATAAATTTTATGAGATGCACTATTTGTAAATCATAAATCTTTCCGATCATTATATAAAACCCTTACTATCTGATTAATATTAAACAAGTTAGGTAAGTTAGTTAATTATGAAAAATATGATTAAATACCATCATCATCTAAATTTGATTAGTTAAAGAGTAGTTAGATAATTTAGAAAAATTATAAATATAAGAAATGATTTTTTTCTAAAATATATCATAATCTCTATATTTCTATATTTATTTTAAATTTCGTGTAGACACGACAATGCGATTCATTTCAGTCAGACGTAAAAAAATGCAAATCATACTCTAAATATTATTTAAAAAATTATATATTTATCAAGTCAATTGTAAAAATACAAATAAAAATATGTGTTTAATTCGGAAAATAAATAAAAGAAAAAGAAGGCTGTTTTATGGCCAGAGAAACAACTAAAACAGAAAGACATAATAGGTGGCACAACACAAGGGAGCCCTATCCAGCGTGTCATTTAGTGGTTTTGTTCTCTTCCCACAGTTTGTGTTTCCGGTAGATGGCGGTTCCCTCCTTTTCTTTCTCTCTCTTATCGCGCTTCCGTTTCCGCATTTGGATCTGCCTCGATTCCCTCAATACCATTCTCCTCGCTTTTTTTCATTGATTTTTTCTTTCTTTCTTTCAGTACATTTATCCATTCTAATTCCTCCACCAATCCTTCTTCTTTCTCCTTGTGTTTTTTTTTTTTGGTGGTCGTTCAGATTTTTGTCAGAATTTTCGGCTCTCCAGATCTGTTTTGCGTACACTACTAGTGCGCTCCATCTTTCTTGAAAATTTTCTCTTGTTTTACGTTTACGAAACAGAGTTGTTGTTTATCAATCAGCTTACAGTCATAACTCAACGCTGTTCTGTTTTTATTCATCGTCGTACATCATCCAATCTGAATTTGACCAAGCTCGATACTTGACGATTTGAGATTCTGGATAATGGTCACAGTTAATCTGGGAATTCTTCATTATGTGTTGGACCACGTTTATGGTGCATTCATGCATCGATCGAGGATTAGCACCCCCTTTTTCTCGAAAGGATGGGGTGGCACCAAACTTGACATGCTCGAGAAAATGATTAAGCAGTTGTTCCCAGAAATTGCAGGACAAAATTGGCCTCCCGTTTTGATTCAACCCATCTGGAGGACGATTTGGGAGACGAGGACTGCTTGTTTGAGAGAAGGGGTATTTAGAACCCTTGTGATGATCAGCTGCTGAATGCCTTGCCTCCTGAGAGCCACAATGCAAGGGTTGCGTTTCTGGTGCCCAAGAATGTTCCCCCGGGGAAGATGGCTTGCGTGGTTCATCTTGCAGGTAACACGCTAGAATTTTTGCCTCTGTGGCATATGATTTGGTCGTCGTCAATAAACTACTAGGCTAAGTTTGAAGTTGAAGTTTTGCTAAAGGCTTGAGATCTGTCTATAACTTCCATCAGGAGACTATCGAGGTTGACATAATGGTTTATGAATTTTGAAACGACAATATATTGACAAATAGAATTACGTGGTCCTGGACGGGGAACTTGGGCTTCTTATGGGCTGGATGGTCACTTCCTGGATTATGGTTGGATGTGATGGTAACATCTATCGCCAAGAAAAGTTTTTCTTTGTTTTTTTTTTTTTTTTTTTTTTTGTTTTTGTGGGGGGTGGGGGGGACAGAAAGGAACAAAAGTTTTCAAAACTTGTGAAGTTAGTGATATCTCTTCGTGCATTTTGTTTTATGGACAATGGATAGAAAGAAATGTTTTCTCTATGCTGCCCTGTTTAGGATGCATGCTACCATACAAGTATTGTATACTTTTAATAGCATATAGGGTTACGGTTGCTGCCTCAATAGTTTAATCTGTGTAGTATAGTATCGTTTCATTCTGATCTTTTTCATGGATGAACTGTAAAGGATGGTAGCAGTGAAGGACAAAGTGATCTCTCTCACTTTAATCCATGTTAGTTATTTTGTTGATAAATAGGACTGAACTGTTGAGCCAAGTTGGGTTGCTATCAATCGTAAATTTATTCTGGATGAATCATCCCTAAATTACTAAATTGTTTTGCGCAGGGACTGGGAAGAATTTGTTTCTGGACCTTAACTATTCGTTTATTTTGCAATTGCTTAGTCTAAATTAGGTAGCTAGCTTGATCTCTTGGCTCTTATCCAGTGCAATCAGAATGTCATTGATTTGGTCAGCAATCCTGACTTACTGAGCCTGGCCATTCATTGGCACGTTCAGAATTTTCTCCTTTCCTGAGTTTGGTAATCAAGCAAGCTGCAGAGAGGATTGTAATGAACACACGTAGGAAAACCAAGAATGAATAATTCCCTTGTTTGTGTAAGTTGTAATATCTTCTGGTCCTCTGCTTCGTAGTTAGGCATCAAAGATTGACACAAGACACTTACTATTATAATTAGGATAAGGTCATTATTTAGCTGGGAGAACCGCCAGGTCAGAAAATCCGGATGATAAGACCTCTCTTTACCCGTGACCATGAATCTGTCTTTTGTCACCTTGCCATTTTGTTTAATAGCTGCATCTTTATCTTTAAAAGATAATTGCAGGAACTGGGGACCATACCTTTGAACGGAGATTGCGTCTTGGTGGACCTCTGGTAAAGGAAAATATTGCAACCATGGTACTTGAAAGGTCAGGCTAAAATTCTTTTTGAAACCAAAGTTATCATCTTTTCAACCATTTTCTAATATAAACTTACATTTGTCATCATATATATGTGTGTCTGTCTCTGTGTATCTATGTACGCAAATGCAGTCCATTCTATGGACGAAGACGCCCTATGCTCCAGTGTGGCGCCAAACTTTTGTGTGTTAGTGACCTTTTATTATTAGGAAGAGCAACCATTGAAGAGACCCGAAGCCTTTTACACTGGCTGGATGCTGAGGCAGGTTTCGGCAAGATGGGTGTTTGTGGACTTAGTATGGGTAAGATTCATCTGGACTGAAGCCCATGCTAATGCTCAAGCTGCTACATCTTCATTGTTTTGTTTTTTGACCATTGCTAATGGTTTCAAATATTTTCGACTTATACATAACACATGGGAAATAAATTAGCAGAATTGGTTGAACTGCTGAGTCTCAGTTCAGTTGTCAAAAAACGTTGACATCTGCCTAGGGAAGTGATTGGATATTTGAATTCTTAACTTTTGGAACCTTGCAGTGTCCAATATCATATATATTTGGGTATTTTTATGAACTTTAGGAGGAGTACATGCAGCAATGGTGGGATCACTTCACCCGACGCCTATTGCAACTTTCCCTTTTCTATCACCACATTCTGCTGTTGTGGCATTCTGTGAGGGAATTTTAAAGCATGGCACCGCCTGGGAAGCACTGAGAGAGGATCTTGCAGCGCAGAAGGCTGCAATGACTCTTGAGGAGGTAAGAGAGAGGATGCGAAATGTCCTATCTCTCACAGATGTCACACGCTTTCCAATTCCCAAAAATCCAAATGCTGTGATCTTCGTTGCTGCTACAGTGAGTCCCAGAACCTCTTATTGCTTAATACCTTTTAAATATATATTCAGTGAAAATTGGAAGTAACTGACATCTAATTTTTCTAGCTGCCCTTCCATTTCCGTGGACCAATTCTAAGACAGTTAACAAAATGAGAATCATTTGTATTGAAACGAAGCGTTCTGAAAAATGGCAGTCCATACTATCTTTGTTGGTTAGCCTTACTTTGTTTCTGATTCAAAATTGGGCTGTGGATCACTTTTATTCTGATCATACAGTATTCTCTTTTGATTGTTTTTCCCTCTATCTTTGATTTTCTTATCTAGTGGACATTTTTGTCCGTGTCAGTCGAGAGTCTAGCAGAAAGTTTTTAGATCATTCTGCTGTTATCTTTGTTTACCTGGTATTCTCTATGTTGTTACTTTTTATGGGTAATCTTTTCTGTTGCAATTCAGAAGGTTGAATTTCACCCATTTTTATTAAGATGCTTGCAGTTGTCTAGATTTCTCCGCTTATTTGTTATCATTCTATATGAGTCTTTCTTAAGAGTCCTTTCTGTGAAAGTTTAGGTGGAATATCTACTTATAACGGTAAACACCATTTGCAGGATGACGGATACATCCCAAAACACTCGGTGCTGGAACTTGAGAAAGCTTGGCCGGGTTGTGAGGTGAGGTGGGTCACTGGCGGTCATGTCTCATCCTTCCTTCTCCACAATGGCAAATTCCGCAGGGCTATTGTCGACGGCCTTAATAGATTATCATGGAACAAGGACACTCCTTTGTGACCGCCAGCTTACAAGAAGTGCTCACTACTCCGACTCTCATGATTCATCACTTTATCCTTGTAGTTTTCAATTGAAATTGTCAAATGGGCGGCTGATTTTAGAGTCCCCATTCCTTTGAAAGAAAATGGATTGTGAAAAGGGCTTGTAAATTAATTTGCCCATTTTAATTGGAAATTTGTACAGGAAAATTGAAATAACTCAACCCCCATTAGCAACCTCTATGGAATAACGTTTAGGCTATGTGGAGAGGGAACTAGGGGGAGAAAAAATTTTAAAAAAATTGCTGTTTTTAGAAGTTTTCTATGATAGTATTCTATCTTCCGTGATTTTTCTGCCCATCCAAAGGAAGGATAAAAGGGATGGAGGTAAGTTGAAGTCATTCATTTGAGCTGCAGCGTGATTTTGTTTCTACTTGCATCTGAAGTTGAAAGGTAGATTCGCGTTTAAGAGACTTTTATGTATATGATCATCAGTTTGTTGGGGGAATACACTCAATTGGGAATAGGAACAATATGACCGTTTGGCAGAATTTGACCAAACCTATTCATGACTACAGGTTGAATTCCCGGAGGTCCATTCCTCATAAGGGAGGACTCCTTGAAGCGTGACGTGACTTGTTACTGATAATAGACCGACGGGATCAGATGCAAATATATCTTTAAGCGATTTAATTATAAATTTTGACTTAAATTGAATGGTTTGAACTTTGTAATGAACTCATTAAACAAAATTAATTATTAAAAACATTTAATTGTATTAGATTTATTTACTTTTGAGTTTTTGTTGATAATGTAACATAAGGGGGAAGCCAAAACTTTATCGAGGAACGAGAATATTCAAAAGTCAAATCCCGTAACGGCAACTACGATATGGCCTAAACCAAGTGTGGGTCAAAGATCAAACTTTTGGACTCATTCTCACCCTTGGGCACTAGCCGCTGCAAATAAAAACCCAACCAAAACCCTCACGGCCCTTCCCCGCCTACTGTGAATCAAACATGGGCCATCTCTTCTGGTCGCCGTCCTTTTCTATGTGCATGCTTTTATGGAAGAGAACAAACGAATATGTAAACAGAAGAAAACTTTGAATAAAGACGGCAGAATAATGGTATAAAGCATCTTTTTTGAACATAGGCTTTCTACGATGCTTCCCCACTTTTTTATACTCCTCATACCAGCTTCACCTCTCAACCTTATCACTTAAGCGACCGCCTATCCCTTCCACATTAATTAGTTCTGCTGTGGCATACAATGAAATTGTCCATTCTGTTTTAACCTAACTGCCAGAATACCCCTTGTATCCTATCCTACAAACAAGAACAAAAACGAGGGCAAAAGTGGTCGTTTCAATTTTGCCCAGAGAATCTAGGAAAGAGGGCAGAGCTTGTGTTAGTCTATCTGTATTTTATTCTCTCATACACCCAAATTTTTGTTCTCTCGAGTGGGTATCTGTTATGTCTTTTGCCACTTTGGAATTTCAATCAGTAGGTTTTATTATCTCTATTTCCTTACCAAGTGACTATACGGCCCATTCTTGAATCACTCGGCGTTTAGATAAAGCAGAAAGGTTCGAGAACATTGTTTCTCTAGCGCAATATTTCCTCAACATCTTTGTTAGTCCCTCTTTAGTTTGTCTAGGATCTGTATATCAATATAATTTGTGTTTTATATGAACGCAAATCGGTACAACCTCTGATGAGGCGTGTGCGTGTGTAGAAGATGCCTTGTATATAAAAAGTAGGCCACAAAAGAGACCTAATGCTTTGCCCAAAAAATGTCACTAATGACTGTCTTGAAAACACCAAGATCATGACAAAGAAAGATGAGAAACACGGCAGCCGCAGTAGGAGAGGGAAAAAAAGTAGCAGTTTAAAACACAAATACAGATAAGTAAGGAATAAAGGGAAAGAACCTTTGCATATTTCGACCTGTGCATAATACTTCCTTTCACAGCTTCATTTCATGGTCTCAAACAGGAGACAGAGTTCAAACTTGATATCTCCGTTTTCCAGAGTCCAAATTTACTGTTGTCCTCTGGAGTTTTGCTTTGAGTTCCTTCCTCTGTTGCCTAGGCAGCAAACATCGGAGAATGAAAGTTGATTTTAGCGCAGGACACTAGGGACCAGAGTTTTTGCAGCAACCAGAAATTTTGAAAGTCGACGTTTCCAAAGGAAGGACACAAACGCAATGGGTTCCCAAGCTGGTTCAAAGCCAAAAGAACAAGACGATTACAAGCTGAAGGACACAAAACCTGAGCTGGGAGAAAAATGGCCCCATGGGGGACAACGTGGAGGGAGTGGGTGGATTGCAAGCGACAGGGCCACCAGCACTTACGACCTGGTGGAACAGATGTTCTATCTCTATGTCCGAGTTGCGAAAGCCAAAGACCTACCTCCAAATCCTGTGACAGGAAATTGTGACCCTTACGTGGAAGTCAAGGTCGGCAACTACAAGGGCAAAACAAGACACTTCGAGAAGAAGAGCAATCCCGAGTGGAAACAGGTTTTTGCATTCTCCAAGGAAAAGATACAATCTTCAGTCGTTGAGGTGTTTGTCAGAGACAAAGAGATGGTGTCCCGAGATGAGTACATCGGAAAAGTGGAATTTGACATGCATGAAGTTCCAACCAGAGTGCCCCCAGATAGCCCTCTGGCTCCTCAGTGGTATAGATTAGAGGACAGAAGAGGAGAGAAAAAGGTGAAAGGAGAAGTGATGCTGGCAGTTTGGATGGGAACACAAGCTGATGAAGCATTTCCTGATGCATGGCATTCGGATGCTGCTTCAGTACAAGGAGAGGGAGTTTATACAATTCGGTCCAAGGTTTATGTTTCACCAAAACTGTGGTATCTCAGAGTAAATGTGATCGAAGCTCAAGATGTAGAGCCAAGCGATAAAAGCCAACCACCCCAAGTGTTTGTGAAGGCTCAAGTAGGAAATCAAGTACTCAAAACTAAGGTATGTCCGACAAAAACAACAAATCCGTTCTGGAACGAGGATCTCTTGTTTGTGGCAGCAGAGCCGTTTGAAGAACAACTGGTGCTGACTGTGGAAAACAAGATAGGATCAAAAGATGAAATTGCTGGTAGGATAAGCATCCCACTTAATAAATTCGAGAAGCGTTTGGATCATCGTCCAGTTCATTCTCGCTGGTTCAATCTAGAAAGTTTTGGTTTTGGTGCTTTGGAGGGAGACAAAAGGCATGAACTCAAATTCTCTACTCGGATTCATCTCAGAGTGTCTCTCGAGGGTGGCTACCATGTTTTGGATGAATCTACGTTATATATAAGCGATACAAAACCAACCGCGAGACAGCTATGGAAGCAGCCAGTTGGAATTCTGGAAGTAGGAATATTGAGCGCTCAAGGGCTCCAACCTATGAAGACCAAGGACGGAAAATCAACCACCGATGCTTATTGTGTTGCCAAGTACGGACAAAAATGGGTCAGAACAAGAACCATCACCGATAGCTCAAACCCCAAATGGAATGAGCAATACATGTGGGAAGTATACGACCCTTGCACTGTGGTAACCTTGGGAGTTTTCGACAACTGCCATTTGGGAGGGAATGAGAAGCCATTATCAGGAAGTGGAGCCAAAGTTGATTCCAAAATAGGAAAGGTAAGAATTCGCTTATCAACTCTCGTAATGGATAGGATATACACTAACTCTTACCCCTTGCTTGTTCTACGTCCTTCTGGATTGAAGAAGACGGGTGAACTTCAGTTAGCTGTTAGATTTACTTGTCTTTCCTTAGCGCACATACTTTACCTCTATGGGCAACCCTTACTCCCCAAAATGCATTATCAGCATCCATTCACTGTGAATCAATTAGACAGTTTGAGATTCCAGGCCATGAACATTGTGGCAGTAAGGCTTGGGAGAGCAGAGCCACCCCTGAGGAAAGAGGTTGTAGAGTACATGCTAGACGTGGACTCTCACATGTGGAGCTTAAGAAGAAGCAAAGCTAATTTCTTCAGAGTAGTATCAGTATTTTCTGGTGCAATAGCTATGAGCAAGTGGCTGGAAGAAGTTAAAAAATGGAAGAACCCAGTGACCTCAATTCTAGTACACATCCTGTTCTTCATATTAATCAGCTACCCTGAACTGATCCTCCCCACCATCTTCCTGTACATGTTTGTGATCGGCATATGGAACTTCCGGTTCAGGCCAAGACACCCGCCTCACATGGACACAAAACTTTCATGGGCAGAAGCAGCACAACCTGATGAACTGGATGAAGAGTTTGATACTTTTCCAACTTCTAAGGCACAGGACGTGGTGAAAATGAGGTATGATAGGCTGAGGAGTGTGGCGGGAAGAATACAAACAGTGGTGGGAGATATTGCAACACAAGGTGAGAGATTTCATGCACTCCTGAATTGGAGAGACCCAAGAGCGACTTGTTTGTTTGTAATGTTCTGTTTGGTTGCGGCTGTGGCCCTATACATAACACCTTTCAAGGTGATCGCTGCACTTCTCGGAGTTTACTGGCTTCGTCACCCCAGGTTCCGAAGCAAACAACCCACTGCTCCAAGCAATTTCTTCAGGAGATTGCCTTCTCGTGCTGATACTATGCTTTAAGCATCAGCATTTGTCGTTTTTCTTTTTCTACGGCAACCCTTAATTTTTTTCCTATTTTTTCAGTTTGGGCGATGAATTTTCTAGTCATTGGATTTGTTATTCTTCGTGTTATTTGACGCTGAGGCATTTTGAACGTAATGGCTGAGAATGACTCTGCAAGGCTAAATTGTGTCCCCCCCCCCCCTCCCCCCCGGGTGGGCCAAAGTACATTGACTCCTTAACTCCCTCGTCTTTGAAAATTTAAAAATAACCTCTTTATCTTGCAAATTTTGACTCTTAACCCTGTTAAAATATGGCCGTTAAATATTTCATCTCAGATTGATCAGGTTTTACTTGCCAAATGACATGGACTTTTTTTTTTAATATTTCATTAATTAAATTCATAACTTCGCTCAAGGATAATTTTCTTATTCTACCCGTGAGAAACCCTGAAATATTGATTCCCCTGTTCTTGCCTCTTCCTCTGTCTCCTCCTGCTGCAAGTTTAGTTTGTCAGAATTTTTTTTTTTTTTAAAAAGAATTGTCTTGGCTTCAAAATATAGATTCATGGTCGTGATTACTTCCCTAACATTTATAGATGACACAATCACCGAAATCCTAAAACAAAGGAGGATGCCTGCACTTGGGTGGAACTCGGAAGTCACTGACCCTTGCGTATCGCACGAGTTACCGCACAAACCGTCTTATTCAGGAACCCGTGGGCTGGACTCTAGCCAATGGGCTTCGTATTCCTCTGGCCTTCACATGTTCTCAATAACTGGGCCATAGTTCAACATTGTGCGGCCCATAAAGAAATGGTCAATCTTTTTTTTTCTTTAGTTGCCCAGAATATCCTCCCACCCGAACAGTAAGAGACTAATCTCTTGAGATGTGATGAGCCGTAGCGGAGACCCCTCCCAATAATATTTTTTCCATGCACACCGCCCTAAAAATCAAACCCAGGATATGATGTTTAAGGTGTCCAAGTCCCTTCTATTTGAACCAACACTTGTTGATAAATAGTCAATTTTGCCAATGCTTATGCAAAAATTCAATTTCAACAATTTTCAACCAATCAAATGTGCATACATGTGTACATATATGTGTGTGTGTAACCAGAGAAAATGTAGACACACACACACACACAATTCAGGCTCTAGTTGATCTGAGTGGAATTTCAATATAATTAAATGTTTCATTAAAATGAAAATTTGATATTCCAATTATTAATTGATCAGTTAAAAACTAATCTCCGAGATTATGGGTGGTTTTAGTACAGTACCAGTACCTTCCCTTCAAATATCATACTCCTCTGATCCTTAATATAAGATCCATTTAACTAATTTAATTAGATTAAGGAAGTTAGGTAAGTTAGTTGATTATAAGAAATGTGGCACATTTTTCTTAGAACACCATAATCATCTTTCTTAATACCCCATCTCATTCTTCTACTCGATTATGTTTGAGAGAATATCTATAAGGGTAATTTAGAGAAAACTGATATATATGAGAAATAGGTCTTATATTTAGAACCAAAATCAACTCAACAATTGGGTCTTATATTAAGGATTGGAAGAGTATTTACCTGTCCCTTAATAAAATTACAGGTCAAATAACACAGTGCAAAATCATCAACCTAGAGGCTACTCGCTGTATACCTCAACAGTGCTCAGTAAATTGTGTCAATCTCGCTTACAATCTTATTCGGTTATATTTTTTCAAAGAATGTGAATTGAACTTCTTAAGATATTTTTATACTTTTGTTTTTTCACATAACAACAACAGCAACAAACAATAATGATTAGATAAAGATAAATAAAACAGGAATTGAATATAAATATACGTTTGAACGAGAAATGAATACATATTTAAACTCCCATGACCGAAATTTGCAATTATATGCAAATTAAGACTATAAAATTTTGTTATAAGTTCAAACTTCCTTGAACACAGCGTCACTCAAGCGTAATTATAAACAGATCCTGAATAAATAAAATAACTATTTTTATTATGTGCAAATGATTTGAGGATAATATACATGCTAGAAGTTGATATGCAAATGCGACATCATAAATAATTAATTTTCTTATCTGAGGACGTATTTATAAATTTTTCTTAAAAATTATTCGACAAGTATATATGTGTATGCATAGAGAGAGGGAGAGATGAAGATAACAACACTTTCGCAGCTTATGAGATATCCACTATAAGATATACAAGAGGTAAATAAAAAGGGACAAATTCCTCATTGAAAATTTAATTCGCAAATAGGACCTAAATATTTTGTGTAACTTAACTTTTATTATATGTAACTTAATTTCATTTTTGTACAGTTCATCTTTCCTTGTGTGCAATAATCTTCCTTTCTGTGATGTGTAACTTAATTTTCTTTTGTGCAAGTCATCTTTCCTTTGTGCAAACCATCTTCTTTTTGTGCAATTTACCTTCCTTTGTGTGCAACTAATCTTTCCTTATACAATCAATCATGCTAGAGACCATTTACTGATTAAATTTGTAATGAGAAATTTATCCTCAAATTTTCCAATAAAAAATCTTAAATTTGTATTGGTGACGGAAGACACTACATAACAATTGACCTTCAACACAAGCAATATATTCAATCCATAATACTACCTCCAATCCTTAATATAAGACCTCATTTGACTTTTATTTTGATCCTAAATACAATACTCTAATCTATTTTATCTCTCATATTTATACATTTTTTTTCTGAAGTAGTCCTTCTAACAATGGTAGTTCTAGTCAATACACTAGATTAGCAAGGATATTTTAGAAAAGACAACACCTATTTAAGACAAATAACTAACTCAATTTACTTTCTTAATCTTTTCAAATTAGTCAACTAGCTCTTATAATTAAGACCAGAGGTAGTATAAAATTTGTAATAACTAATATCACCTCCGGTCCTTAATGTAAGAGTTAGTTGACTAATTTGAATAGATTAAAAAAATTATTAAGTTAGTTATTTGTAATAATTAAGTATTATCTTTCTTAAAATATACTACCTCCGGTTCTAATTATAAGAGTTAGTTGACTAATTTGAAAAGATTAAGAAAAGAAATTAAGTTAGTTATTTATAATAAATGTATATTGTCTTTCCTAAAATATCTTTACTAATTAAGTGTATTGGCTATAACTATCATTGTTAGAAGGACTATCCTGAAAAAAATACATAAATATGAGACACAAAGGGGATTGGAGTCTTATATTTAGAACCAAAATAAAAGATAAACAAAATCTTATATTAAAGACCAGAGGTAGTACTTGCTAATCATGTATTTGCCAAAACTATTATTTAATTGAATTTTTAACATGTGAAACTACTACAAAAATTACTTTACACAAATGGATAAATATAAGGGATAAATTAGATTTGGATATTATATTTATAATCAAATTAAAAATCAAACTAATTCTTATATTAGTAATCAGAGATGGTATTATTTATAAATTATAATACTGTAGTGGACTTGATCACCAAATGCATGAAATATAATGAATTTAGTTAGTCAGAATAGCTATTAATATTTACGAACCGGTAAGAGAGGAGATCGAACTTTGTTGCGTAGGCACGAAGTTAAGGCAAGGAGCGCACGCTTAGCCTTAGGGTCCCCCGAAGAGACAAAAATCCGATCCCATTGAACCACCGTAATAACTAGAAAAAGAGAAAAACACTTAACACTTGGTATATATATCATAGTTAAAACTGTGCCTAAATTAATTTTAATTTGGCTTGTGACAAGATAAATTGACTGTCTGCTGCCACCCTCAAGAGAACGGACCACCATATAATTTAAAACAAACGAAAAGCAGAGGAAGATAAAGATCCGAGAAATAAATTAGAATTGGGACCTAATGTAGAGTCTCGATGTTCATCAATGGCACGCTGTGACCCAACAAAAGTCATATGGATCACTCTCTCCCCTTTTCTTTTTTTTTCCACATTCATTCCCTCTTCTCACTCCTTTTCTCAGTCAGAAATGGCCGCAAAGCATTCGCGTAATCGTCTTCCGGCGGTGAGCCATCAAGATCACAGACAGAGAGAGGTAGGTCAAACTGAGTCAACATTTGAATTCTATATTAACTAGCTGGCTATATCTATACAGTTCTGGTAAGAAACAAATTAAAGGTAGCTAGCAGCACGGAGATTAGATAATATTCTTCGGAAAAATGAAGAAGAAGCAGCTACAACAAAACTAGTCATGGCTATGTGTGTATATATATATTAAATATAATTAAGGCTGATGATATTATACTGTGCCGCTTGATTAATCCCAGAAGCCACTGGCTGCTTAGTCCTGACGAGGGCGAGCGACCCACAGAGAGCTGAGGGCTCTCAGACGATAAGAGTACTCCGCCATGGCCAGCAAACACCTCGCCGACTGACGCGTCGTTAGGATCTGATTCAGACGGTGGATCGTTTGGTGCCGAAGACTATCCGCCTGTAAGTTTTTCATTTAAATTTTTTTCCTGAATATCTGTCACTCTGAAAATGATAATATAAAATAGAACATCATGTTGGTTTTGAAAAGAAGTATACATGGCATATTGTCAGCGACCGACCAATAGAATTTTGTAAATTATAGTAGGTTAGGAGCCAAAGTACAGTGGATGTATTCTCTTTCAAGCTTCCGAAACAAATAATAAAAAGGTCTGACAACTCCTGATTACGAGAGGCACGTCCTTAATTAGTCAACAAAAAAATTGGCGACCTTTTCTCAGATGATCATTTTTCAACATCAAGACATTTTATTTCAACCATTTGAGTTTTTGTATCTAGATGAATGAGAACGGCAATCATGATCCTTGTGAACCTATAGCTACCGAAAGAGGGACCAGTTCAATTCAAATTTTTGGCTTCTAATAGAAATTCTACAGGTTGGTCAAATTACGACTCGTGCACACATATAAATGGTCCTACCGATTAGGAAGGGTAGCTTAATAGTGATAAAGCTCTTAATCATTACCATTGAGGATCCCTCTAGCTAGCTAGTTTGCGTGCCTATATATGCTAAATTGATTGGTTGAAGTGTTTGTGCTCTACGGTGACTTTTAGTGCTCACTCTCATTCACCCGTTGAAACAAGCAGTTGGTGAACCAAACGTAATGACCCAGAGGTTGAACATAGAAAACTGTGACATCTGGTTTTGATATCTGCTGTCAATAATCCATGTTCAGCTTTCTGGACCATTTTTCTCCTTTTTGCTTGTACTTGGCATGCATGGGGGGCAACAATTCTGTGGGATATCTTAGAATTAAAATACTACATCTTTTCTTAATATAAAATTGTATATGGTTTTATTTTCATCCTACATATAATATCCTGATCTATTTTATCTCTCATATATATATTTTTAAAATAGTCTTTCTAATAATAATAATTCTAACTAATATACTTGGTTACTAAAAATATTTTTAAAAAATAACATCTATTTATTATAAATAACTAACTTAACTTATTTTCTTATTTCACTCAAATTGCTCAGCTAGTTTTTATATTTAAAACTAGAGTACATGTGTTCACATTAATTGAAATAGACTAATCGTAAATGTCCTATCATGAGTTTGGTAAACACTAGACGACATAAATGGTATGAATGAAATTTGGACGGAACAAATTCAATTAAGTAAACTAATTAATTTGGAGCAGCCAATTAATTAGCCAGTAAGATCATTCACGCATTTAATTGAATTGACAGCATGCTAAAGTCAAATTCTTCTTCTACACAGCTGTTTGAATTTTAATCTTGGGTTGGTTTGAATTTTTATTTATACCCATCCGCGATCCATCTCACTCTCAATACCAAAATGTATTTCCTTTATTTTAAAAAAATAAAAATTTAAGTCAAGACACAAAGATAGAAATTTGCATCCTCTCATGTGTAGGGGAAGAATCTCTTCCATGTGTGTCGATAAAAAAAAAAAGAGTAAGAAAGAAATTATCTTTGCACGTGGGAAAGCATTTTCACCAACCCATGAATATAAAGATCCTCCCTTTGTATTGGAAAGAACCAGAGGTGGGTTTCATAGTTTATAAATATAGTAATAAGGTAGTGTTTGACTTCTAATTAACTCAGGAATATCGGAATTCTCACATATAGCAGGAGATCCTCATTGATTCAGGAACATGGGGATTCTCACTGGTCCTCGAAGGAATCCTTATGAACCAGTGAACATTGGGATATGAGAGTTTGTAGTTTGAGGAAATATTCAACAAAGGGAGTTATGGGGAAGGGTTTATGAAACGCCTTCGAGTCAAACGGTTACGTCCATGACATCATCTAGATATGGGCCTCAATGTGTGTATCCCTCTCTCTCTCTCTGGACGAGGATTGTTTCACTGAGGGACCACAGGTACTACTATGCCTTCGTGTCACGTGTACATTATATATTATGTTGTCAAAAAAAAAAAAAGACCTTCAGTTTTGAGTATGTTTATATGGGGGAACATTAACATAACATAGTGAACAAATAGTCATTTAATTTGTATAAATTAAAATTAATCTAGGTTTGCGTGTGTATATAAATATATATATGCTATATGTAGGTCCCGCGTAACTAACTGAAGAGCGAGACATGCATGGAAGGAGTAGTTGATGAGGGTGGGTAGGTATCCTAACCCAAAGAGAAACAGGTTATTGTTCTTACTCGACCCCATCACGAGATCAGTTATGGAAAAGTTTGATCATATTCATGCCTCATGGTGGTCCACAATAACCAGCTGACTCAGTTTATAACACCATGCACATTATATATGGGCACAGATATATATATATATATATATATATGCAGGACGAGATTCAACATGCATTCGTGGTTAACATATGAAGTTTTTACGTGCGTGAGAGTGAATCAAACAATAAGGTAGTACGTACCTGTCGGACGAAACCTTCGAGGGTGGAGAGCTTATTCATGGCCAGGGCCATTTGTCCCATGTAGTTGGCCATATTAGGGGTGCAGCTCAAGGAGTCTGACGTTATGGTTTCCGAGAGAGATTGATTCAGAGCTTCCAGCCCTTGTGAGAGTGCATCTTCTGCCTCCTGCGTGGATTGTTGCAGTCCACATATCCCAAGTATTTGTTGCTCCGTCAGCGGCTCTATTTGACTTAGGATTATCTGTAACACCAACGTAACACACATTGATTCCTAGCTATTTGTTGATGCGTGTTTCAACATATATGCTACCTCCGGTCCTAATTATAATTAAGACTTTGTTTATACCACAAACGATGTCTTATAATTAGGACTAGAGGTAGTATAACAAAAATTTCAGGTTGAGACGGAGTTGTTTGATTGATTAACTAAAACACAAAGGAAGAGAAATAAGTATGGGAACGACAACTTTATTCCCATGGACAACGACCACGAAAGAAGACAAAGAGGGACAGAGACCTGGGCCTCTCTCTCTCTCTCTCTCTCTCTCTCTGCCCCCTAAATTTCCGGTTCCAACAAGAGGAATTGGAGTGAAAGCAATGGCTTTATGGGAACGAAGCCTAACTCCAACCGTTCACGGAAACCACCATCATTGTGATACCTTTCGTCATTAATTCATTAATTTGTACTCCTCTGCGCTTCTTTTACATTTCAACTTGATTACTTCCCTCTGTTTCACTCCTCGCGCCAATATTTTATTCTTTAAAAACGGGGAATGTAAGCCTGATGACTAGTTTTGTAAGGTGATAAACAACCACGTACCTTAATGAGTTCGGAGGGCCTAGATCCACCGATCCACATGAAGCAACGCTCGGCGGGAGTCTTCCACATGCCGGAAACAAGGTGGAAGACGTCGGTTTTAGCCACAATGCTCTTGAGGTTCATAACTTGGTCACAGTGAGCAAGGCAGTTGTCCACGAACAGCCTCAGCTCGTTCTCCGGCAGGTGCTCTTGAACCGCCGCTCTCAGCTCGCACACTAGCCGCTGGTGCTCCTCTACCCATCTCCCGTATTCCACGTCGAACATTGCAGCATCTGTCCCATTTTCATTTTCATTTTCATTATTATTATTATTTTCTTTATCATAACGTAATTAACACACAAAGTTTTCATTAATATATCGTCGCGGGGAAGACCTGAGCTAACGGTACTCATAGCCACAGGAAGGCCTTGCTCTCCTCCAAAAATTGCACCCGATCCTCCGAAGAATATGCCCTAAAAATAAAGCACTCGTTACTTGTCAGTGTTTCAGCTTTGTTTATCAGTCGGTGTGGTTTCCATTTATAGCATTAAGTGTTTGCCCTCAATCAAAAGTTTTCTTACTTGAGCTCTAGCACGCTGCAACTCCTGTTCCAGCTGATTCAGTCTGATCCTGCTTGACTCTAGCTGCTGCACATATGCCTGATCATCCCCCGGAAAAAAAATCATTATGATGATGACTATAACACAAACGATGTAAATAAAGGGGTATACCCTAGATAACTTTTAAAAGTTCTTGCCTAAAATGAGCGAAACACTACTGACATGAAATTATAATATTGTGGGGGTCTCACCTTCTTTCTAAGCCTGCTTTTCCTAGCTGCCTCTCTATTCTGAGCTAGTCTCCTAAGTGTCTGTGCAAAACAATTTTCAAAAGCAAACATTCAACAACGTCAATTTATCATCTCGGAACTTTTTTCTTTTAAATATATATATATGTAAAGAAAGAATTAGCTTGCTAGGAGAAGGAAAAAAGAAAAAGAGAAACCTTAGGATCAGGTGTTCTAGGCCCTTCCTGTTCAGAGCTTGAGGTTGGGCCCTTGCGAGTGCTGTCCCGCTGCAACATACACCCATAGCACATGCATAGCGTTGGTGAATAGTGGCGAAAATGATAAATATATACATCCCATAATTAAGCTGAGAATCTCGGGTTTCAAAGATGCTACCGAACTCTGATTCTTGTTCTGTATTGATTTGATCATTTTAATTCATATGTTTGATAATTATATTATACTATATCTAAGTCACCTTGACAGCTTTGGCTGATTGATTCGCGGCGGCGGGGCCTTCGTTTTGCGAGCTAGACAACTTCATGGGCGGCTCCGATGGTCTCTTGGAACCACTGCTCTGGGGAGAAACCAACTCCACGCTAGCCTACGTACCAATCACCGAATACAAACAAGCCCACCATGAAATGTTTCCGGCCGTAACAAACTAAAGAAGCAAGTCGGAAATCAAATAATCCAAAATGATTAATATGGGAATTTGTTAGTGGGATTAATTAGTATACCTTGGATGAAGGCGGGTCTACGTGCATAGGCTGAGACGGGAAAATGTTGAGAGTCGGAGGCCTCATTCCCGACGATGATGAGTTCTCTGCCGATGACGAGGAAAATGTTCAGAAACACAACAATTATCAATTATCAAATACACACACACACACATGTAATAATAAGGAGCTTAATGAGTAGCGAGGAAAGGAGCAAGCTTATATGGGAAAAAGGTGTTTATGATGGGAGGAGACGGTTGAGTGAGAAGCGAAAAGGGAAGGCAACAAGGGAGGTGTGAACGGGAGAAAGCAAAATCTGGGGAATTGTCATGCAATTGGAGCTCTGAGCTCTGCCATCCCCAAACAGAAAAAAGAAGAAAGGAGGGGAAGAAAAGCCAGAGCGCAAGCATACCCTATTCGATCGTACTCTTTACAGTACATGTGGAATTAGCAAGCAAATAATCATGACACCCCGCTTTGTTACATGTCATGATCTTACCACCTCGAAGCAACAAAAATATAGAAACAAGTAAATTCAGTAACAAAGAGAGAGGTGGGGAGAGAGGGGTTTTCTGTTTTTCTTTTTGTCTTTGGGGAATGACCTCGCTCCATTTCTTCTCTTTCCGCCTTTTTCTCCCTCCCTGCAAAGATCGGGTCAAAGCAGGTACTGCGGCTGCAGATATGAATTTGACGAACATGCTTTCCATGTGAGCGGAACGGCCCACCTCTCCCCATAGTCTCTCCGATCAGAAACCAAAAAGCATATTCCCCTTTTTGAAAACCGAAGGAAATTAGTACGAGTAGGAAGAGAGAGAAAAGCTCACGTCTTTGGTCCTGAACATTAATGGAGGAAGGGTCGGCCTGTCCGTCGAGATACAAAAGAAGTGCTTGATCCAAGTCGCCTAAATCGTAAGCTCCGGAATCCTTACTTCTGTTCATCCAACACACACACGACAATTAAAAAGAAGAAGAGAGGAAAAAAAGAGCGGAGAGACGGGGAGTAGGGTGATGAAAAAGCTCACAGAAAATTGGCGGCCGGGATGGAAGAGGAGGAAGAAGATTGCATCATTCCGAAAGAGATGCGGTGGTCTTGAATTTGATGAAGTGGGAGTGAATCCATGTGAGGAGTGCTGGCTTGGTTGTTGGTCTTGTTATTAGTGTAAGCCATGGCGAGACTTGGAAGTGCCTGGAAGAAGCTTTGTCTTTTGCGCCACTAGCTCTCCAAAACCCCATTAATGGCGAAACCGCCTTCTGTTTCTTCCACGTAAAATCATTTCTTTTTCTCCTTTGTCCGCCAGGAGCAGCGAGTCGGTTGTAGTCCAAGAGAGAGAAGGGACGAATCCTTTGAATAGAATTGAATTAAATGCAAATTAAGGGGTACAAAAGACAAAGCTGCTTTTTCCTTTCATACGGGTACCTCTCCTCTCTCCCTCTCTCTTACTTCTCTCTCATCTCTGCCCACTACACAGTCTTCAGATAAAGCGGTTCTCAGCCTTCTCTCTCTCTAGAAAACGCAGCGAAGTGTAAAAGAAACTGTCTTTGTTCATTTAGAGAAAAAACCACTTTACACAGAAACGCAATGAAGCCCACCTATGTCTTCCTTGTCTACCCTTCTCTTTTTTTCAATTGGACCAAGTAACCGAAAAGTCTTTCTCTTTCTTCGACTTTTACTATTGACATTTTCATGCAAACTTACACGTAGATCACTCCCCCTTCTTTTTTCTTGGCCCCCTTTTGTTTTCGTCTCCCCCCCCCCCAAAAAAATCTCTTTTTTCCCCCGCCCTATTTCAAAATAAAAGGAAATAAAATCCAACAAATACAAATGAGGAAGGCATAATATTATTAAATACTAAAAAACTCATTAATTTCGGAATTTATTTATTTTGAAATCCCTTGTCAGCTATGGAGAGTTAATATCTATAACATCTTCACCTCTTTATGATTTGGAGGGAGATATTCAATTTAACTCCCGTGTATTTTTAATAAAATCCTTTTAGTCATATAAATGATTTTTTTAATCGTTAGGATAATGATTTTACAAGTTTGAATATTGCACATCGTTTTCCGTTTTTCAGTTTTCTCTTTATTTTTTAAAGCACATATCATTGTAACTCGTTTTCAATACCTTAGATTATTTATAAAGTAATCGGGGTCTCATGGTTAGCTTGCCGACGTAAGTTACCTGGGCATAATGGATGGTTGAAAATACCTTTGCTTAAGCATTATTCCCAACCTGAACAAAATTGACTTTGAGAAATATACTAATTAATTATGGATAAATATATATATTAAAGAAAAGTCCCTGATCGGAAATTTGAAGGCGCCAGGGTTGCGAATTCAACTTGTTAATTCTTTTCATGCGTTAAAACGGCGTCCGTTGCCCCTAATCCTTCAAGTGTCCCAGCTTCCAAGCAAGAACATCGATCAGGCAATGAAAAAAAGAATTCAGTGTATAAACTTTTTTAAAATTATATATTCCAATTGTCTTAACTGAAAGTTATGGGAATAAATTTAAGATGGTTTAGTTAATTAATTAATTGGGCGAATATATAACATTGACTGGTTATGTAATTGTCATCAAGTATTGTTTTTGGCAAATGGGGAGCATTCATTATTAAATAATTGTTAAATTCTCAATCAATTCCAAAGTCATTATTTAAAAATCTACATAACCTCACAAAAGTCAATACCCTCTTGAAATTATTATGCCATACGTTTTTCATCTGTCCCAAGCAGTCTAGCTTGAACCTTGTTCAATTTATGTGTGTTTTACGCACGCCTATCTAGTCTCTTCAAAATATATATAGTCAATGCTAAATTTATTCACGTTTTAAATAATAAGAGTCCCCATCATTTAAAACACTACTACCTCAGGTTCTAATTAAAAGAGGTAGTTGACTAATTTGAGAAAATTAAGAAAGTAAGTTAACTTAGTTATTTATAATAAATAGGTGTTTTCTTTCCTAAAATATTCTTGCTAATCAAGTTTATTGTCTAGAACTATCATTATTAGAGGGACTACCTTGAAAAAAATTACATAAATATAAGAGACAAAGTGGATTAAGATTTTATAATTAAAACTAAAATAAAATTCAAACGATATCTTATATTAAATATCGGATGTAATACTATATAACGATGAAATTAAGCTTTAAAATTGTGGCTTCATGAATTAAAGTAATTAATGCGCGGGACTATCATCGATCACAGTCATGTAAAACATGTAAGGTTTGAGAAATGTGATCGATATATCAATATCACATGACTGTGAACAAATTCAATTTTATGAAATGGTTCAACAAAATAATATCTGTTAAAATTTATTTCCTGGAATATAAATAGTTAATTCACTGGGAATTTAACTTGTTCTTAGTAGTAATTCGCAGTTAATTATCGATATTTCGGTCCAGGAATTTGAAAAAAGAAACCAGAGTGTAGTGCATACAACCAGCAAAGACACGCATTGTGATCAGGAAACATATAGTTTTTTTTTTTTTTTTTAAAAGCCAACAACAAACACAGAATTGAAAGGTTCCAGAAGGAAACACTTATGGTCCTGTGTGTGTGTGTTGCTTGAGTTTGTAAAACATAATTTGAGAGTTGATGTTAGTTATATAAGAAAGACCTATATCATGTATTTGTTAATCTCTTTTAAATTAACCCACTGATACTCTTTAAATAATAATTAAATAAGAGAGAGAGGAAGTAAATTAAGAAGGATGATTAGGGTATTTTAAAAAAACATATCATATTAACTAATATCATTAATCTATTCAAATTAGTTAATTAGGTCTCACATTAAGGATCAAAGAAGTACTATTTTAATTTTATTTATAAATGATTTTCAACATATTTTATTAAATAAAAAATTCAAATCTTATTAATTTTATTTTAAAATTTAATAACTTTCATAAATCTAAATAAACCTGTCTACATATTTATTTTGTATATTATAAAAATATTTTTAAATTTATAGTTTTGTTTCTGTCTAAGTACTCCTAAGAGGTTAAGGCACCGTTTGGGTGACACCCCAAACCATGGTTTGAGTGATAAGTTACCCAAACACTCACCCAATTTGCACAAACCGTGGTTTTGGCTCCAAAATCATAGTTTTGGAAAAAGCAAAATTTTTTTGTTTTTAGAGAAAAAAGGGAGAGTGTGAGAGCCTATAGGATACGTATCTTGTTATTTTTTTTATAAACATATTTTTTTATAAACATATTTAATCTTATATTTTAAATATATATATACATATTAATTAATTATTAATTATATTATCTTATGTATTATTAATTATGCTAATAAAAAATATATTATTAACAATTTTATTCCTTTAAATTAAAATATATCATAAAATCTATTTTTTCTGTAATTATCATATTAAATTATGTCTTTTTTTAGTAATTTATATATATATAAAAGGTGTTTCTGATAACAACTATCCAAACACTCTCACTTCTCAAAATCACTTTTTCAAACCACGGTTTAGTTTCATTCAAACACACCCTAAGAGCCGTTGCGTGATCTGTGAGCCTGCGGACGCATCGAGCCTTAAACAATTCCTATTTGCAATAGCTGTCGCCGCAGCACGGATGCAGAATGCAACCGTCCACGTGTCAGGTTCATGTTAAGTGTGGGGCCATTAAAATTTTATATTTGACGATCTGGCGGCTGTGATCCGCGGAGATGAAACCTCCGTTGGAAAGATCCTGGGGTCCACTGCCATCCCCATCCCCGCTTTTTGTTTTTTTTTTTAGCCATATTTTAATGGTTTACAAACCTGGCATTCAACTGCTCCAACCATTTTTTAATCATTTGCCTTTTTGATGGGAGTGCAGGTGCGCAAATGATATTTTTTTCCAAAAAAAAAGAAAAAAGGGTAGGTCTAATCCTGCAAAGTGTTTCTAACCCTACCCCTATCTGAAAGGCATATGGTTGTTACACAAAAAAGGTCTTTAAATAATTCAATTAATTAATAATGATTGCAACTCATAAGAGCTCTTGCTCGAATTTTTAGTTGCATCAGTGAATAATTATTTTAAAGTATTTTATGTAAGCATTCTTTAAATCATAACGCTTAATATAATTCTAGCGAGTAGCTGTAATCTAATTCTCTTAAAAATACAAAAGATTAAACTGCCTACTTAAAAAGCAAATATAGATTCGAACCGATTGACAAACGATGACGCCTAGGCACCTCGTATAAAATCTCCGCGCAAAACAACAGTATAATCACGGGTCTGCATTCGGTGCTCATCACTTGATGAGCACCCAGTGCTCATCAAGTGATGAGAAATCTGGACCGTCCAGATCTAATCTGGACGGTCCATATTTAATGTTTTTAAATAATTATTTTAAAATAAAAATTATTTTTTAAAAATATGATAGTTAAGATTATCTTTATTTTTATTCTATACTTATTAAAATAATTATTTTTAAAAAATAAAGAATAAAAATAAAATAAAATCTGGACCGTCCAGATCCGATCTGGACGGTCCAGATCCTGATGAGCATTGGGTGCTCATCAGCTTGATGAGCACCCAATGCAAATCCGTATAATCACATCTGAACTTTCCCCCACGCGCGCATGTATATAACTTTTTGCGCATCACGGGAACCCCCCCCCCAAAAAAAAGGTAATATAACAGTGGTCATCTGAAATACAGGCTAAAAATTAGGTATCGAAATAACCTTTGACTCCGTAGAACTCTGTTTTTTAATGTAAAGTTTGTTTTATTTTTATTTTAATTTTAAATATAAGATCTCAATTAACTTTTGAAAAAATCCCAATTAAATCCATCTGAAATAATGAAATTCCAATTAAGGCTTATACTTTTAACAAATTCCTAATTAGGGCAAGAGGCCTGATTAGGGATTTTCAAATGTTGCTAAAAGACCAAAATGCCTCTCTGTAATCAAAAAAGAAAATTGAATGTAGGTGTAAGCCTAATTTTAGTTTTAATTATTTTAGTAGATTTACTAATGAGGATGTGGTTTTTCTTAGACTTTATGTCAAATTTGTGTTTTGTACTTGTGAATGTTATGTCAACTCTAGAATTTATAGCCTTTTAGTGGAGTATTTTTTATATACTAAAAATTTGATATTGAATAAATCTTGGAGACCGAAAATTGAAGATGAATTGATGAGTCTCAATGTAATTTTTGAAACAGTAAAATTAATTTTGATAGATATTCAAGAATTTCAGAATCTTTTATTTGATTTTTCTCGCACAAAAAAAAAACTTTGATTCTGTTAATCTTTGACATTTGAAATCGTAAAATTTTTATTAGTTCCCATATTTTTGTAATTCTATGGATATCTAGAAATTATGTATTTTTTTATCTGTACTCTTCAATTTTTTTATTGGCCATAATCGTGATTTTTATTTTTTTTATATGATAATATTTTTGGCCAAATTTTCATATGATATATTTAAAGAAAAAACATGTTAGTTAAATTCAATTAAAAGAATTAAACTAAAAT